GATTTACCAAAGATAACTAGATAACCACCCCCAGTTCAATACATTGCTTAACATGTTCTTCAAATCAAATGTTGCCTTTGTGACCTTGAACTTATTCCAACCACTCTTGAATTATTTCTTTGAGCAGGAATTCAGGATACTGCATCAAATTTTCGACCATAAGAGTACCTCACTGCGTGTTCAGTTGCTGTGTGCATTTGATTCAAGAGCAGTCTATTTTTGTCTTGTTTATGGCTTTTATTCTCTCTAGCTGTATAGTACTTAGTAATGTATGTCTGTATCTTGAACATATTGCTTGCAACCTGAGGCATTAATAAAATCTTACCTCTTATTCAAAAAAAAAAGTGAGCAGCATCTGCTTTTAAAAGGTCTCGAATTTTTTGCAAGCGCTAATTGGTACTTCTAGAAGAGACAAAAGTCGTAAAAAAGGTTTAATTTCTTTTTAAATTTAGGACACTTCCTCTTCTCTGTTCAAATTTCTTTTAGTACCTAGCTATCCAAATTACCTCCCCAGACCACTTTGTCCTCTACACTGTCAAAGTAAAATCTTCTAAATTTACTGCCCATTTAAAATATAGCCCATAATGAGGTTAGAGTGTCGAAGGGGAAGCTGCTTCCATATAATAGACGTGCAGCAAATTTGCAGTGCCTTACAGACAAGGGCGATAAGTTGCAACTTGAAGAAGTTCATCTTGACAATGAAACACTGCATCTCTTTTTGCAGGAAGCCACTCCAGCTGTCAATGCATAGCTTTGTGTTGTAACCTCAGAAAGCTGAGGTCCAGTGTTGCTGATTTAGCTGCTTTCAGATCTGCTTACAGTATCCATGCCTCTACCACTCTTGTTCTCGAATCCCATTGCTTGCTGTCCTCCTCAGCTGTATGTCTCAGCATGAGAAGTCATCTAGAATTATTTGGACTAAAAGTAGCTATAGGTTTTCCATGTATATATCATCAGCTGTGGCTGTGGCCAGGGAATATTAACAATAATTTGGTAGGGAACAGCTAGGATCACGGACAAAATAATATATCTACAGGGAGAAGCCCTGAGATTGTACTTCAGCATATAACTAACGCTCCAGAGATGATCCAAGTGTAAATTGTGATCTGAGTTTAATAACTTCAAATGGCCACACAAGTGAATAATTAAGAAACTATTTATCTTCAAAGAGGGAGCAGCAGGGCACTCAGCCAGGTGAAGAAACAGAAATGTTTGTGCCTTTTAGATAACCACTCGTTATCGTTTGTAACTAGTCACCTCTGTTAAATAATTGTGCTTTAAAAAAATAAGAGGAATCTGACCATGCAGACTTGGGCTTGTCAGGTCACAAGGAAGGAATGTAACTAGTTTGACATACAGGTCAAACACACTATTGAGCTGAATCACAACGCAGGATAAAAGGTCTTGGAGTCATCATTGGCATTTCTATAAATTTATGGATCTGGATTTCATAGAATATTCTGAGTTGGAAGAGACCCACAAGGATCATCAAGTCCAGCTCTTAAGGGAATGGCCCATACAGGGATTGAATGCACAACCTTGGTGTTATCTGAAATCGTTGTCTCAGCACAAATTATTTTCAAAAATACCAACAGTATGTCATCATCACTATATTACCAGAAAGGGTTTTGAGAATAAGACAGAAATGATGTTTTGTAACTGTACAAAACCTTAGTGTGCCCATTTTTTGAATGTTGGGTAAAGCTTTACTGTCTGCATCTCCAGAAGGAACTAGTGAATTAGATATGATACAAAGAAGAGGAATTAACGCAAGAGGAAATAGAGTACCTGCCTTCAAAGGAAAAATTCAGAAGTCAGGGATGCTTCAGTTTGAAGAGAAGGAGGCTGAGGTGTATATGTAATTAAGGTTTACAAAATCAGAAAAACACTGAATAAGCTGGATGTGGAATTGTTCACTAAATTGTGCAATACAAGAAACAGGTGCCATTCAAAAGTAGTAAACAAAGATAGATAAATTAGCGGCTACATTAAGGTGTTTCTTTACACATCAGGTTTAAGCCTCTGGAGGTTATTGATACATGTGGCTGTGAAGTGGGCAGTATCAGCCAGTTCAGAAGGGGATTAGACGCATTCATGGGGAGCCTGGATACTAACAGGACTGGACCAGGGATAATACCTTTGGATATTCCCTAGTACAACAATTATGGATGCTGGAGAAGTATGAGGGGAAGATACTGTAGGAAGCAGTAGGCTCATGTGTTCGACCTAAATGCCATCTCTTGTTGCTACTCCTGGAAACAGCACTGGGCTACAGCTACTTCTGTTGCGCTTTGTTGTACAGTTTTACTTCTTACATTCTTATGTTTTAGTTGTTTAATGAAGATGTTTGCTCAGAGTTTTAAATGGACTTGCGGCAAGAAGCTGATCAAGTTTGTCTGAGAGAATGGCTTCTTCCTATCGCGATCCACTGGTATTGCTCGGTGAAAGGAAGAGTAGATTGAGCCTTTATTTTACTGGTGTCGTGTACATCTTCATGTCTTCCAGTTTCTTTGTATCCAGATTTATCCAATTTATTCCAAGTGATAGAATAGTGTAGCTGAATGAGTAACATTTGAGCTGATGCACGGTGACCAACCAAATGCAGCAATTACTTGCCCGTCTTGCCAAGTAAAACACAGTAGCTTAAACCGTGATTTAGTCTGACAAATGATTTGTGGTTTAATCCTAGTACCTCCTGATTCACACACCAACATACAGTCACTTACTGCAATTTGGATGATGAATGTTAACTCATTAGGCTCCAGTACTGAATTTTTTTCCAACTGAAATCACTACCCTTCAGTGCACTTTTATATATTTTCTCCCCCTTTTATCAGGCTTTTCCCTCACAATATTAATGCTTTAGTCTTACTTAGGAAAAGACTGTGTGTGTTTGAGGATTAGAAATGAGTATAACTTGGTAGGACCCAGAACTGTGTATTCGACTCAACAAATGCTGTTTAGATCACTTGGTGTTTTGGTAAGTGATGTAATGTCAAATCCGCTGATCCACTGAAACTCACATGCAGTCTTGGCTGTGGAAGCAAAGTCTTACAGAGCTGAATCAATGACTGCATAGCTTTTGAAGAGAGTCCTTGTCAACACAAGTGCAACAGAGCACCATCTCCTCTCTATTCGTGACTAGAAGAAAGAAATGAGAAACTGCTTTGAACCAGATGGTGATTCCTTCTAAATGAAGTAGGAGTCTTGACCTTAGTATTTTCTATAAAGTTCAATTTACTCTTTGTACCTTGCAGAGGATATATTTGGTGCATCTTACTGCACTTTGTCTTGTGCGCAGAAGATTGCAGGTCAAATAAGCATGAGGGAATTACAAAAAATAAAACTGTAGGAAAGGCAGAAAGAAGGGAAAGAGAATCAACCATAAATGTTTCTCTAACCACTGAGCTGTTTTCTTGAGGTCAGATACCTCTGCACAACATTGGTGACCAAAATAGTCCAGTGACTGCTAGCTAGGAAATTACTATATTTAAAATGTAACAACAAATAAATTGCAATTAATAATGCTAGTAATTCTTACTTGCTAACAAACACTTTTTACTGCCTTCCATCTGGGTTGTTATATCACGTTGCAAGCACGAAGCTTTGGACATCCCTGAGACAGTTAGCATGCTCTTAAACATTCAAACCTGCCAATATTGAAAAGAGTGAATCAAACATGTAAGCAAAGGAGCAGAACATAGGTCACTTTTTTCTTTTGATGATTATTGTCGATATAGCTAATTAACAACAGACAGAATGACAGGAAAGAAGTTAAAGAATATGCGTCAGCAATTCTTGCCTTTTACTAATCCAGAAATGAATATTTGAAATGCAAAAGCTGAAGAGTGTATGTAAAGAAGCTAAACATGGATTCATCCAGCAGAGGTTGTTGACACAGCACATTTCTTGTCTCAGCCTGTAGAAGATCTTTCTCTTAGCAGAAGGGGGGCAATCGCTCTGTCTGATGTCTTTCTGAAACTATTAAAATTTCACTATCAGCACAGTTTCCCCTGAATGTTAAATGAAGAATCTGTTGCATGAGCTTAAGTGGGATCTTTTCTTATTTTTTTAAACCACCCTTGTAGCAAAGGGTACGTGGAGGCCTGATCCTCCTCTTTCACTTGCAGATCAGTATTAGTTTTAATAGGATTACAGAACTGAGGGACAAATTAAGCCTCAATTCAGGCTGTCCTGTAGTTTGACTTCTGCTATTATCCCCGTTTTGCAGACAGGTTAGGGTCCTCAGGTGTGACTAATTACCTTTCTGTGTCTGCTGATCACCAGACTGTCACTGCCACCACCCTTGTCCTATCAGTGTGTTGTCCTGGTCAGGGAGATAACTGTTCCTGCCTTGCTCCTGTCTCTTTGCAGACATGGCTTTGTGGAGCAGCCCAGCTCTTCTTTTTCCCTGGTAGTTAGCTCAGGCTTCTATGAAGGGCCTACAGTTAGTTTACTGCCAGACATGCTGCAGTGCAGTATGGCTCAAGTAAGAACTGGGGACAGTCTGGCTTGAGCTTAAATAGGGCTCCTGAAACTATGGGCAGAGGGGATGGCTGAAGGGTGCTGGTGAGGACAATTAAGGGAAACCAGTGCACTTGGGGCCCTGATGCAGAAGAAATGAAGATTGGGTAACTTATTGGCACTGGAAATGAGAAAAGTTAAGAAGGTTTGTCACTATTAATGTATTACCTAAGAGTGTGGAGAGGCTGTGGCACAGTAGCAGACAGTTGATTAGTTTACATGTGTGTTCAACTCTGCTCTTGCTAAAGCATTTTCTTTCTTATTTAGAATATGAGTGGATAGGATCAAGAATGGTACCTGAGTGTAGGATATTCAATCCTGGCAGTGTCCAAAACTTCCCATTAGCTTGTCACTTGACTTTCCTGAAAAAATAATATTAAAAAATGGTTTTCTGATCCTTTTTGTCTTTATTGATTTTGAGAAAATGTGCATATAAATAAAGGAGATTAAAATAGATTCTGGCTTCATACTTTCAGGTTCCTGAGCACGCAGAACTTGCCTGGATTCTTGGGTGCTTAACTAATGTGCCACGTCTGCTACGTTTGCCCCAGTGGAAGGTATGGACAGTTTTGTAGATTGAAAGGAAATATGTGGAAGTTCAGTAGAATTGTTGTCCTTGAAATACTTGTTATCTGTGAAGTCCCAACTGTATCTTGGTTATCCCTGCTTTCAGTTTAAATAGTTCTGTAGTCCTGTGGCGGAAGGGGGGGAAAGTGTCTTTCTAGGTCTGTTGCTCTCAATGAACGTTTTTCTGCTGGAAGCTACAGAATAATATTATTGGCAGAGACTTGCAGAAACAGTACTAAATATGAGGTTGGTTTAGTGTCGTTGAACTGATTTTGCTAGAATATTTGATGTTATTTCAATAATTTTAATGCCTATTTAGTAATGTAAAACTACTGCAAGATATTGCAATGGAAACCTTGAGCCTTGACAATTAAGGAATTCCATAAACAGTTTTTCTTTGTCCACTATAAAGAGTGGCTGTTCTGTAGATTTTATGGAAGAATCTTCAAAAGAGTCATATGTTGGAAGAGGAGTATAGAAATTATAAATATAAAAAATGTGCTGAGTGATAATCTATCTTAAATGTTTGCCTTTACAAGTTTCAAATGTTCATTATCTTAATCTTGGTACTGCATCAGCATGACGGCATTAACAGTTCTTTCATTTAATTTCCTTGTATTTTATTTTGGCATTTAGTAAGCAGAAAAAGCAAAAGAAGAGAGAAGTATCCGAAAAAGAAAAAAAAAAAAAAAAACACAGCAGCTTAAGAGCAGTTTGGCTTGTAGAGTTCAGAGCAGCCTTAAATACCTCCAGATGTTTTCTTTTTTCCTGTTTTTCTTCTTAATTAAATAAAACCAGTAAACCTTAAATACAGCAACCAGCATTAACGCATGTCTTAGATTAAAGCAAACCTTTTCAAACCTGAGGTTCTCAAGTTAAGCTCTTAAATCCAACTTTGACTGGATTGACTTTCCAAATCTTCAGATAGGTGTTACAGGTGCTAGGCTTTGCAAATTAAGTTCCCTGAACCCTAGGCACTTAGAGATGTAGACAGAATATAGGATCTGTGGGAGAGGGTGAGAAAAATTTGAATATATTTGAACAGTCTTAATGAAATAATTAAGATTTCAAGGGGTTTAGTATATTTAACTATTGCTAAAAGCCAAATGTAGATATGCCATTGCTAGAACATAATTATTATCTGTAGCCTGACTATTGTGATTTAAATGTTCCATATTGTAGAGCAGTAAAGGGCTTGAAGACATTAGGTGGATTGTGGGGAGCAGCGTGAACTCATGGAGAGAACGCTGGACTCCGCCTCTGTAGTTATGGGTTCTCCTAGCTGTTGCTGACTGTCCTTGTGACTTTGTGATCACCGTCTTAATTTCTTTTCTGTGAAACACAGGTGCTATATACTCTTTATATCTCTATTGTAAAGTGTTTCAAAAATTTATTTCTGAAAATGCTATTTTAAAAGTAGGGTTTATTGATACGAACTGTAATAACCCAGCCTGATTGTTTTGAATTTGAAATCATTTTTATTAATAAGGTTACAAACAGAAAACACAAGGCTCTGTTTTCTTCCCACTAGAATATCAAAACAGTGTAGGGAAATTCATAAATAAAGGACATAGAACATATGTATTCATAAGGAATGGATTTTACATGACACTCTCTTCTCTAGAGTTATGCAATAAGTTACTCAGTAAGTCAGAATTCTAATTAACTAATTAACTAATCGCAGATTTTGATACCATTAGGCAAAAGTGTGATTCCTCTCCGTTTTTCTTTTTCAAACAGATGAAGCGTGCCAGCCAGAATAGCGAAGGAACTGTTGGTTTGTTGACTTACCCTGTGCTTCAAGCAGCAGATATTTTGCTGTACAAGTAAGAGGCAGAATGTGAGCCCATGGGCAATGTCTGTTCAGCTACATTAGAATGAATGTTCGTCAGGTCAACATGCTAACTTATTAAGTGGGGGGGCTGGGTGTGATTAGATCAGAAGATTGGAAATGGATGACAGACTCTCAAGTGGCTAGTTGAAATCTAGCCTGGCTAAAAAGCAACTGATATGGCTGTAAAGAGAAAAAGCTGGTCACTTGAGAATAATTCTTAGGGAATTACAGCAGATTGATGTTTAATTGTGCATATTAGTTGTTCACACACATACACATTTTTTTAAGTAGTTACACTTAATTTTATGCAGTGTACTGTAGAGATACTTAAACTGTCTGTATGTAATATACCAGTATTAGTGTGGGATTAGTGTAGCCCAATTCATATTGATGACAAAAGGTGACTGCACCTTGTAGGATCTGGGCTAGTTCAGTTTTCTCTGTGGGGTACTATGTGCTGCAATGGTAGTAGCCACTATTGAGAGACTGATGATTTCTCAGCGTGCCCAAGCCCGTAGCCTAGCTGATAAGAATTGTTGTGACTGGTTGTATTTCATAATATGATTTAAACTGTCTCAATTAGTAAAGGTTGGAGACAATGCACTATGTATTATTTTTATGTTCTGAGCATATGTACTTTGTGGCATTGTTCTGAAGGGATGGTGAGAGTATTTGTCGGGACAGAATAGTAGTACAGAACTGTGAGGATGGGGATGTTGTGACAGAGTAACCAAGAGTAGCCAGTTGTTAATTCAGAAAAATGTATCTAGAGAAATTTCATTGTAAGTAACCATAGTAGGGGAGAACAGTACTGTTAGAAGACCAGTAGATGGTATTTCTAACTCACCTGAATTTTAACTAAAACTAATGGGAAACAAGCAAAAGAAAGAATCGGACTATTATAATGGTCTTCTTAGCAGTGAGTCACATTTGCTTGTCAAGCAGTATTTAAGGGTGAAATTTAGAGAACTTTATCAGAAATCACCTTATTTTGATTGAGCTCAGCTATGTATGTCTCTTCCATCTCTAGTCAGATCATGTAATTCATATTTCATTAGTAAAGCCAGTGGCTTGTTTGCTATTATATTAGCAGCAGGCTGTCCACACAGAGTACAAAACAAGAAGTGAAAGAAAAAAAATCACTTTGAAAAAATTTGACATAATATATTTAATAATAAATGTTGTAATGTAAGAAAAATACTGTAAGGAACAAGAATTAGGGAGAACTGGAAATATAGGAAGGAAGAAGAAGAATTTAGAGCTAGAGGAGGGCAAGAAACAGTACTAACTCAGATGAACCAAGGATCAAACAGATAGGAAAATAAACAGAAAATTACAGAAAGGAGTTAAAATAGCACCAAAACAAAAATATTTTAAAAAAACCAAGGAAAAAGGCAGAGGTATTTATAGAGATAATATGTTTTCTCTTCCATGGCAACCTTTGTGAATATGGAACCATTTTGGCATATGGAAACATTTCTTTTGACCTGCTTAAAGTATATTGATTATGGTAACTGATTTTCTCTATGTCAGTTATAGGCCACTGTGATTTTCTGTTGGCTACTGTAACTGTTTTTAGGTTGCCTTGCTGACTGTTTGGTGGGGAATAAAGGTGGACAAATTGACTGTTGAATGTCAGCCCAGTAATTCAGAATCGGAAGGAAAGAGTACCGTGTTGAACTGAAATTTTCTGGGAACTTAAAAGATACATAGTGAACTTCCTTACTCTGGAACATATCCAGGATTCTGAATACCCCACAAGCTTCAGAAAAAAAAAAATCTGCTGGGGGATGGGAGAGTAATCAAAAGCTGGCATGATTTCAAGTCAGCCTCATCTAAAAGAATCATACATTTTTAGCAAGTATGATTAACTGTGGGAAAGAATCGCCAGGGGAAGTAATGAATTCTTCACCTCCTCGTGTCCTCTGATGCAGATGGTGTTTTCCTCCAGAAGTGTATTCAAGCCATTGAGTTCAATACAGAAGATCAGATGATCCTTTGAATCTGACAGTTCTAATCTTCTAATGATAACACTTGTGACAACGGAGGCACTGACCCACTTGATATTTATTCAGTGGTGACCCATGAGGAAGAACCACTCTTTTCTTTCCTTCCCTTGGTATATCCTCAGTACTAACTTCTTAACAGCAGCTATGTGTTCCTGAAATTTGACATGACAATGTGCTTGCACTTTACGCCTTGCAGACCTTTCTTGCTTTGTTTGCACACTTATAACACGTGCTCTTTGATTTCCAAAGAGACAGCAGGAGATACTACAAAAACCTTCTTTGAACTGAGTTTAGTGAGTTGCTCTTACAGGTTTCTTTGCCATGTATGTTTTCGTGAGGGGCTATTTTTGCCCTTGGAGATGTGCTTCAGTTCAGCACAAAATGCAAACTCATCCTGGGATATGGTCAGTTTTGGACCTTATTCCCACAGAACCTATATCTAGCTGGGACTGAGTATTTGGCTCAGTCTGGCCCTCAGTCATGGCAGAAGCTGTGACAGTCTTGAGTAACATTTCGGCAGAACCAGAGAGCTTTGCTGAGTTTCCTGTATCTGTCTTTTATTAAAAGGTCAACACATGTTCCTGTTGGAGAAGATCAAGTCCTGCACCTGGAACTAGCCCAAGATATAGCACAACATTTCAACAAGAAATATGGAGAATTCTTTCCTGTGCCCAAAGCCATTTTAAGTGAGCTGGTCTTGGATTTTTTTTTTTTTCCCTCAACTGCACTTTTAAGGTTGAAGATGGATTTAAATATTGTGGAAATAGTTTCAGGGACCAAGAAAAGGGTACAAACTGATGCTAAGGGAGTGGAAAATTAAAAACTGACAACGAGAGACTAGAGGCTGTGAAATTTAACTCCCAAGATAGACATAAGGCTTTACAAATCCCTGGTAGAGGAATGTATGTGACGTCTGGTATTCTAGTCCAGGGGGCCAGATGCACTCTGCTGCTGCCAGTCAGCCTTGCTCTTCGAGGATTGGACTTTGTAAGAGTAGGGTCTCTGCTCCATGTTGCTAGTTCAGGAGACAGGTAAGCAACAAGACCTCTAGAAAGCAGAATTCTCAAGGTCCAAGTGGTAGATATTTACATTAAGCCTATTAAACACCATAGATACGGTGCTCAAAAATTTTTAAGGGTGTTTAATATATACTTGCATATCTCAGTACATGTCTCTTACAGAGCTTAAGAATTTCCAGTTTTGATCTTACACTCAGGGAGACTTATAAGGAAAATCTTCTCAACCATTTTTGAGCTATAAGGTCATAGGCCGGGGGGTGAGGAGGAGTCAGATGGCACAAATGGCATGTTTGTTAAGAAACGTGAAGAATTGGGCAAGGAAGAAGCATTGCATCTTTGTTGTAAGTAATGTAGAGGAATGCACAGCAGAGACCTTCGCCCCCAAAAGGGCAAGGAGCTCTCACCTTAGAAAAGACAGGCAGTAATAAACCTTTCTCAGTTTTCAAGCCTCAGTGACAAAAATGGTATTAGACCTAAAGTAGAGCTTAGAGAATACTAGGCATTGCAAACTGCAGTTTCTAATGAGCAATTGAATACTCATTATTATTACTTAAGTACTATAAAGAAGAGCTGAGTGTAGCCTGTGATGCAGGTGAGACTATTTACCAGTAAATAAAAAGAAGTTTTTAAAAAACAAGAACATTTCACCTTGCTCATGAAAAGCATTCCTTCATAAGTTCACAAGTATATGCAAACCAACAAAATATCCTAGATGAATGGAGAAGTTAGGGAACTATTCAGAATCACTAGCTGTAGGCAATGCAAATACCTGAACTCATTCGGATTTAGAGAAAAGAGGCAGACTTCCAAAAGGTGATTCAGAACAGAGCACTTTCTGGGGCAGTCTGAATGTATGTTGGAAAAACCTTTATCATTTCACTGAGTACATAGACCATCTATGAGGAGTATGCAGGTAAATTATTTGGCTGTATAAGGTGTCTAAAACCAATTGGTGTGAATACTCTCAAGATCAGTGATACTTTATGACCTCCATGAATTATGTTTCTTGGTGTTTGGGTGTATGCTGTTAAAGTACTTTGGGTGTTTGGGTGTATGCTGTTAAAGTACTTTGCAATATTCCTCTAATGCTACTACTCTATTTAATGTACATGCATATATCTTAGCAATTTGTACAGTACCCACACTTATCTGAGCAGTGCTTTACTTCTAACAGAGCTGGTTATTGTTCAGTTAGAGAATTTTAATAGCTGTCTTTATTGAGATTTAGGAGAATTACCAGGAGATTATGGGTGGAAGAGTTTCTTGAAGTAAGGAGATAAACTCTTCTGGGATTCTTTTTTTACCAGTGGATTTAGCCTGTTTCTCCACTGCTCAGAACCTTTCAGTGAAGTCCATACTCTTCAGGTAACTTGTTCCCAGTGTCAGTAATATAAGGGAGGAGAAATTCTGGGGAGAAGTCAGCATGTTAGCCACAAAAAGTATTAGAAGGAGTCCTAGCAGAAGCTTCTGCTTAGTGAGGGTGGGAGAGACGGAGCAGGTTTCAGACAGTTTATGGTAGGAGAAAGATGGCTTTTTAGAAGAACGGAGAGGGCATAACGACTAAATAGTGCATAAGTGATTGTGCTCACAACTCATTTTTGAGCAAGGATAAACAGCTTCATCCTGTGTTGTTAGCAAATTTTATAAGAAACCATTGTCTGCATTCATAATTACTCCTTTTTTTTTCTTTTTTAAGGTACAACAAAGAAAATAAAATCCCTCAGAGATCCAGCAGTGAAGATGTCCAAGTCAGACCCAAAGAAATTAGCTACTGTTAACATAGCAGACAGCCCTGATGAAATAGTGCTGAAGTTTCGCAAAGCTGTGACTGACTTTACCTCTGAGGTGACCTATGACCCAGCTGCTCGCCCTGGTGTCTCCAATCTGGTGTCCATTCATGCTGCAGTAACAGGGCTCAGCATCAAGGAAGTGCTGCACCAAGCCGCTGGTCTCGACACTGCTCACTACAAAATGGTGGTAGCAGAGTCAGTTATTCAAAAATTTGCACCTATCAGGAATGAAATCAAGAAACTCCAGGAAGACAAGTCCCATCTGATAAAGGTTTTAGAGGATGGAGCAGAGAAAGCCAAAGAACTGGCTGCCCCCATCTATCAAGAAATTAGAAGACTGGTGGGATTTCAATAGAAGCTACTGAGTAGTTGCAAGGACTTTTATATCATGGGACAGACATTTTGTTATTTGTAACAAAATCACTTATTAATTATTAATCATTTTGGTTTGAAACAAAAGCTTTTTTCCCTGGAAGATCCAAGTAGAACATTGAAGGTGATTGCATTAAAAAATGTGCATATTACCAGTGGGACCATCATTAAGCTTGTCTGGATAGTCAAAGAGGGAGGGCAGAAACAATCACAGTTCACAAAGAAATTGTGCAAAAGCAGAGTATAAGGTTGCCTCTATGGACTTTTTTGATTTTTCCATTGACCGCTGCAAGAAGCTGAAGTATAGGCAAGGTGATCAGAATCTACCAGAAAGATTTGTAATCCTTTCGAGAACTTACTTAGCTGTGTATGTAATCTTGTTACAAATGGACAGTTCATCCCATTGTGGGTTATTCAGCTTTGATATGGTGGTTGAACATGTTTTGGATAACCAGAATAAAAGCAGAGACTTACAAATAAATGCTCAGGGTGATGAAGAGAGAATTTATTGCTTCTCCCTATCATGTCTTCAAATTCAGTGTGACTTTTTTATCTGCGTAGTTGTGCAAAGTGAGCCAGTGTGTCTCTTTAAAACTCACTGGATACTGTGCTTGATGACTTCTTTTGATAGTCACTCCAAAGAATCCAGAAAGTGGAGTTGAATTTCACTTCTGCCACCTGTATCATCCTGCTGGTGGGGTCTAAGGTACTTCAGTGACAAATGGTGTGCTTCAGCTGCTCCTATTCTGCCTGCTGTTCTGTTTAGCAGGGAGCTCCAGGATTTTCAGTTCAGCATCAAGTTCTAGGATTGCTTTAGAAAAGGTGTAGGGAAGAAGACGTGATCCTGAGTCAAAGAAATTTTAGGTTGAGAATCAGAGAACTTTTTGTAAAGCTGGCAAAATTACTTGTTCAGAAAATTGTGCCAAAGTCAGAGCCAGAAGCGAGTTAAATAGATCTGTATGAACTCTTCACTACTGAGCCTCAGGAAAACCTGGTGATGGGAGAATGGTATTAGCCTGCACTACCCACAGACTGAGACCTGTGGACCATGGCATTTGTCAGGGAATGTGTGGCAAAGGGGAATTGCCAAAAGGAGACACCATATTCTGAAGAGGGGGTAGTAATACATGTTAAAAGGTAATTAAAGCCCTCCTGGTCCTGTGCCAGCATATTTAACTGTATCGTTACTGTTCTTGGTGCTGTGTTTGAAATTGCTGTACTGTAATGTAAATTGAGTTAATCCTGTACTCTGGCAGTTCATAACCATTATATATATGCCTGTGGCATTTGTCATGAAGGATTGCAGTCTTACATGACTTAGTAAAACTGGAGGAGGGAGGGGGTGTTTCTACATAGTGTGGTTGTTTGTTTGTTTGCTTGCTTGCTTTTTAAAAAAGACACTATTTAGTTAATTATAGTGACTTGATTCAGAAAGAAATATTTAATTTCCCAAAACATGAAGCTGAGAACTGAGCATCTCCGGATCTGTGCTGAGACCTGTATTTATTTGTTAGGGATCTGAAGAGAACTGCCATTGGAGAACTTGATGATGACAGATTTTCTAGAGTTAGTCAAGACTAACTAAGTAGAGTGGATGGAGACAGAATGATCAGAAATCAAACTCAGTATAGACAAGTCCAAGGTAATGTCCTCTGGAAAGAATAAGTATGTTCAAAAATTATCCCTGGTTTTAAATAAGCAGATTAGGAAAGGGCACAATTATAGTTGTGCATATTTAGGTAGTTTTAAAAAGTTTTTGTCAGTGTTTAACAGGTGCATTGTCTGCATGGAAACTAAGACAAAAATTAAGGCACACAGTTACTGCTGCTTACTGACTTGGCATAAAGTATTTGCAGTGGCACTGTTTAATATGGATTGATTTCTGCAAAGTTCCCACAATATCTTCCTTAAGAGAAGCTAAGACAGGGCTGGCTCATGAAGACACTGAAAATCTTCACCTACGTTTACCTCTACCTCTTTTTCATTAGCAAAGATAGGAGCATATATTCAAGAGACAAATCATAGTTTCATTTTTTGCACTTCTGATATCCAAATCACCTAACACATAGGGTTGCCATTCAACGCACCTTCTTTGCAGTGGGAAGGAAATAGGAGCATTCATGGGAGGGGTTGACATCAACAGGCAATTCTGGTTTGTTACTCAAACTATTCTGAGCAATCTTTCCAAAACTGTTAGATTTTTTCAGAAAATCACATAGATGAAGCAGGAAGAAAAACTTCAAAAGAGCCTTTTCTTTGAGGTAGGGGTTTAGTGCATCACGTATTTAGCAGTGTTTCAAACAAATTCACTAATTTGTGTCTTTTTAATTTCCTGTCTAACAAACCTTACTTGCCTGACTTATTTCCTTCAAGTAAGGAAATATACCCGGGTTTTTTTTCAGTTTCAGGAAAGTTAAACTCATGTTAAATGAGTGTGTTCACCTATTGATTGTTGACTTAGCTTTTTATTTTAGTTGCTCCTGTGGAGGAATTCTCAAAATAAAAGCTGTGTCTGCCCAGTGACATAGTCCCAGTTCCATTAACATCCATGATCTTTAGAGTCCCCTGGGATGAGGCAACGAACATAGATGTGCGGATATCTGTTGCCTATTTCGGTTTTCTTGGAGCATGGCTTTTTTGCAAAGTTAACTATCTTGGCACTCATGTCATTTAGCTGAACGTAGCCTGGCTGCCTCTTTGCATTTCTTAAGCCCTTCACTTGGTGTCTGGGAAGAGTTTGTCAGGAAGAAGCTGAGCTTGAAGCAATGTGTGCTCAGTACTAGCAGTAAAACTTTTTTGATTCCAAGCCACTCTGATCTCTTTACTCTTCCTCTACCTCCCTGTTTCCTCTTTAGAACATTTTTGTAAGCACCCATTCTGTGTGGTGTTCCGTGATGGTGTCTACAATAATGAAGTAGTGCAGATGAGTTAGAGCAGCTGTTTAGAGAACCGTTGCTGGAGAACACGATGCTATATATTTCAGAATTACTTGTTTCACACTAACTAGTCCAGTGTGCTGGGAGTTTACTGGTTGTTTACACCTGGAGTGCAGTAGATGCGCTCCTGAAATGCATTTTTGTGTTTGTTTTTATCCAGATCATATTCCTTGAGACTTCTCTGTTATGTCAGCTGAAGTGCAGTAGGTGGGGACAGTGGAGAGTTCTGCAGAACTCCTGATCCCAGCTGCACTGCTAGTATAGAAGTGCCTTGTGGTATTGCAGAAGTCATTGTAAGGCGTTCTTCCAGGACTGGGTGAGGAAAAAGGTCCAAATACATCTTTCCTAATTAAAGAAAGAAGAATTGAAAGGTGGAAAGGTATCCTTACCCCTTGCTGTGTTGCTCTTTGAAGAAAAGAAAGCTAAAACAACAATCCTTTATTTTGAATATGTGCGGTAATTTGTGCCTTAGTCTCAAAATTTCCTCCTTTGCCATTCCTGTACATAAGTGCATCTGAAGTACATATATAGTGGTTGGGATCTGCAGCATCAGACATGGCATCTCCTGGTAAGTTTTGCTTACCTTTAGAGATAAAACATCAACTCCACAGTGAATAACTTGCAAAGCTCTAACTAAAACATTTATACACTTGGGACATCCATCTTTGTGGTCAGTGGTTCCTAGGAAGTCATCACTTATAAGAAGATGCTGGGAGTGAGTCTCAGTTCTGTTCTCTCAGTTTTTGAGAATTTTAAATTCAGGAACAATGTTTTCTTCAGCAGAGACTCCAGATTAGGATCGGCACCATATATTAACTCTGGCACTGCTCCAGCATACATCCTTGCCTCAAATAACTGGAGCGCATATATATTGTACATTATACTGGAATTTGACTGTAACTGTTAAAGATGTGGTTGAAGTATACTTAGTTTTCAAACACCGTGATCTGGCTTCTCATATTCTCCAGAAGGCCTTGTGCATAGTTCCGGTTTGGTGTGTGTTTATCGACGAACAATTAAAGCAAAACTCTCAGGATTATGTCTGCATCCATTGAAGGTTAAGGACTTCATAAGAGTGAGCTGAAAGTCTTAGGAAGGACAGTGAAATGGGATCCTTGGGGACTGACCTGCGTCTGAACGTTTTGGGACCACAGATTATCAAAGCAAAAGTTTTCATCTCCCTGGTTAGGACCATCACGATTCTGACAACAGTACAGCAGTAAATACGGCTAATGAAAGCCTTTATGTCATTTTATGTGGGAATTCTGGATCTGATTTGTTGAGGACTGTAGTATAACGTGAAATTTTAACTTTTCTGACCTCCACAGTTTGCTAGATGTTTATGACAGCAGAAATCTGTTTGAAACCATTCGCCAAAGCCGAATCTAATCCTCAGATCCAAAGCCTTTGGGTGTTTTCCCGAAATGGAGATTTCACAAAACAGTTTATTATTTATAAACTACAATACCAATTTCAGTAATTGCTGTAGGGTCAGTAAGAGCCAGAGGTCCATTCTGAATTACTCATTCATATATTTCATTACTGTTCTGATGCACATTCTGCATATCCATATGGCTAAAGGATCATGACAAAACTCAGAGGAGATCTGTGTGTGGTTCTGGTAATAGCAACAATATGGACCCAGGCGGGTTTGAGTCTTTAATCTAATGAACATGCTCTTTCAGTGGTCCAGCTTGGTTAGATTTATCTTCAGGACAACAGATGGATCTTTCACCATTTTAATCTCTGCGTTTGAGTGCCTGGATGCTCAAACATAAACTGTTTATGACTGATTGACTGCTTCACAGGGAGAAATAGCAAGCTGGCATAGAGAGTCCAGTGGAAAAGGTTTTCTTTTCAGGAAATATATTATCTGTTCTTGACAGGAAAACAAAACCCCTCTTTCTGCTTTATTGGACCATCTAATTTCCATTAAATTATTTGATCTGTTCGTTCCTTCTGGGTAAACTTGACAGTAGCTGCAGGAAGAATGACAACATATTGTGTAGTCAAAAGCCTTGGAAGGACCCAGACATGTCTCATCAATTCAGAAGTCCCTCACATAGTGGGATTTTACTGGTTGCATCAGCCAGTTTCAGGGAAAATGTTGCAGCAAAATCGTAATCATATGTGACATTAATTGATCTAATTAAAGCTTTTGTGTCTTGGTTTGGTTTTTTATTTTTTTCTAACTCGCTAGGCTGTGAGAGAAGACTTGGGTTAAACTTTGAATTCCCAATCAGGCTTTCTATTGCATGCATAGTCCTGTCTAGATGACAGCTGAAGTAATGGAAAATGTATTGTTACAAAAGATTCTGCACTGATTCTCACCTTTCTGTCATTTTGTTTGCTGTGCTAATGGAAGGTTTGACAGAGAAGTATTTATTCTGTTTTGTGTCAATGAGAAATCATTCTACCTGCAGCAGTCCCACACTGTTATGCAAATGGAAGATTCACTGATCATTTCACTTTTAGACAGCAGCTTTAGTTTCACGATTATTTTGTATAAGACCGAATGCCAACCTCCTGCACAAAGGGATGAGCAGGTGTGTCCAGGTACAATAAACAGTTTAACATCTGGGAAGATATTTTCCTATTGTGGTGAATTGCTGTCGCAGAACACCATGTGACAGAAGATGACAATATCCACTACATGAGTGGTCTCGTGCTGCACATGAAACTAAGCACTGAGCTTAATGGCTGTTGTGCTGTCGTGCTCTCACCACTCCAACATGGCTGTGAGACAGGAACAGCAAATCTGTGCCATACTAGAGGGCTCAATCAGTTCCAGATGTGCTATTTTTGCTGTATTTGCAAGACGAAATGTCAGGACAAGAGTTCCAGAACTGAAATCCTTAAAAGTTATTAAATGTTTGGGAGTAATGGCATGCTTGTAAAGCCTGGTTTATAAAGCCTAGGATAGCGTGGTCTTAGCCTCATTCAGACAGCCGACATGAGAAGTCACGTGGCTGAATGTGGCATAAAGTAAGCCATCTGCTTCCTTGATACAATAATGTGAAGACAGTATGAGTCTAATTTGAAGGATTACTGGGTTAACTCTTACAGGTGGGAGGTAACAGGTTATGGCACAGCAAGGTAGTACCAGATCTCTCTTGGTGTTCTAAACCGTTGTGAAAACAGATGCTCACAGTTCAGGTGGGGACTTTGGATTGTACAAAGCACAGGTAAGATCCTGCATGGACATTGTCACTTGTCCCACAGGCTGTTGTTCAATTTCTGTTCGATGTGACTTTATTGTCATCCAGCAATGTGAAATGACGGTCACGTGCTGATAAAATTAATTGGTTAATTAACGGTTTCTGCTGTGACAAAAATTAATGAAACCTCTGAAGTATTGAATTTATGTTCTCTGCTATCTTTGGTGAAAACTTCTTTCCTGATGCCCCAGGATTTATAGAAAGAAATTTTTAAGCTAAATACACATGAAACTTATCAAAACAAGGCTACTCTTTGGCATTATCCAGAATTTCTGGTTTAGGAGGTTTCTAGTTTCATTCACCCTGTTTACCTTCATGCTTCCTTCCCAAAGCCACATCCCTCTCTGAGTAAAGTAAAATCTATATGTTGAATGTTGTGAGACCGACTTTTTATTGTGACTGGAAACAGTTGTTCATATGTATTTCAAGAGTCTCTTCATGGTGTTTGCTGAATGAATAACAAAGATTTCAATAAGTGCCTCTTGAGTATTCAAGCCAAGGAAGATCTATGAGTGGGCTGGGGTTTGCTCTGCCCACATTTATTCCTTCATGGCCTGTCTGGCAGATGTTCCTACAGCAAGAATGGGAAAATAAGCAATTTTCTGTTTAGGCTTGTAGGCCAAATGCAAACTGCAAGTGGCAGTATGGCATTCATTGTTTTTAGACAGTCCTCATGAACTTTCTGTTACTGACATAACTGCACACCCTCCATGTTGAAGTTGTGTGGATGTTCAGGGGGGAAAAGGTAGGATATTTTTTTTGTTCTTCAAGACATGCTAGTCACATGTTGTATGCCCTGCCTTCCATCTCTTCTGGTCAGAAAGTTACTCCTGAGATTCTTGCTCTTAAATGTAGGGTACGCTTTTCTCTTGCAACGAGAAGCAAGGTGTGCAGATGTAATGCTGAACTCCAGTGGTTGTGTCTCTTAAACTAATCAGTCATACATTTCTGGAGCATATGTGGAATCCACATGGGCAAGGCATCTCAAAGGACCATAGTTTAACTAATTTTGATGTACAGAAGGCTTCTCCCCATCACACCAAGAACACTTCTCAAGAAGCATGGGAGTTACTGTGTATTCACAGGCTGAATACGCCAGACAGGAATGACTAAACCCATTTCTGTCTCAGAGGTAGCGCATTCACTAGGCAGGCACGTTGGCAGACAAGAAAGAAGTGCCTTGCTGGTTGGAGGGGATTGCTGCTGCTGTTGAGACAACTGATCCAAACTGCAACACTCCTGGCTTATGTTCAGCATCATGAACCCCCTTAGAAGGAAACTGTGAAGTGGATCGATTTTCTACATGTGCTGCATGAACGCTGCAGTTTGCGCAGTGTTGGTGTGGCCTGTTGGGAAAGTATCATTTTATTGTTTAATAACCCATTGCCAAAATGGCCCAAGGATGTGGGGGGATTCTGAAGATCTTGAATCTCCTTGGAGGAAAGTCTGAGATAGTTGTTCCTCTTCAGCCTCGAGAAAAGATGTTTGCGAGGGGACCTCATCCATGTCTGTTAAGTATCTGCAGGGAGGGTATCAAGAGGATGGAGCCAGGCTTTTCTTGGTAGTGCCAGGTAATAGGACAAGAAGCAACAGGCAGAAACTGGAACATGGGAAATTCCACCTGAACATGAGTAAGAACTTCTTTACTGTGCGGGTAACCAGGCACTAGAACAGATTGAGCAGAGAGGTTGTGGAGTCTCCCTCACTGGAGATATTCAAGAAGCCTCTGGACACAGTCCTGTGCAATGTGCTCTAGGATGACCCTGCTTGAGCAGGGAGGTTGGACCAGATGACCCACTGTGGTCCCTTCCAACTTTACCCATTCTGTGATTCTGTGAATTCAGATGTGTTGCTGACTTGTGTGTGGGTTGTTCTGGCTCTGCTGAAGATGAAATGTGCTTTTACAGGGGTCTTATTTCTAATGGGTTTAGTTCCTACAGACAGTGTTGTTAAAATAGACTTCAGAGGTGCAATATATCTGTATAGCCTGAGAACAAAATTGAGGTGATGAGCTCACTGCTCTTTTAATCCACTTTGTTTACCAGCATCACACGCTGGCAGGAATAGAAACTTCACTTTTTCGTTTAAGCCAATAAAGCTCTGACTCAAAGGGCTTCACTCTACTTTCTGCTTGCCTTTGAGGAGATGGATTAGCTGAAGTGTGAGGATGTTTCAGTAGATGCTTAGTTTGTCAAGGGAGATCTCTGGGTGGCCTGAGAAGATTTAATGGGTGCTGTAAGGTTACCTCTCTTCAGTTTAAAAAAGAAAAAAAAAGTAACGTAGCTGCAGATGAGAATTAAAATAAATAGAGACTATTCCCTATCAGCTTCATAGAAAGTTTTGCTACAGCTTCATAGGAAACAGTGAAATGTGCATCAGCAAGGCCATTTTGGTATGTTGTTTTTAATGTGATTTGGATCTTTGTTGTCTGCCTTGCACTTTTCCTATTTCTTTACTATTTTTTCTCCAAAGAAGAGTTTTGCTCTTTGGTTAAGCAAAGAAAGTCGAAAAACATATTTTACTTTTTATTTCTTTGGTGCATTTGAGCTTAACTGTGCTTTGCCTCAGTTTCCTCACTGTAAATGAGGCATAGGAGACTTAATTGCACAGATATTGGGAGGCTAAACTAATATTTGCCAAGCATTTTGAGCCTTCCAGTTGAAGATGGCCTCACTTGGCACTTAGTTACAGTATTTCTTCCTGAGATGCTCTGTTAGTGGTGCTTGTGGCATAAATAAATACGGTGAAAAGTACTGGAAGGCAGACAGTTCAAGACAGAGTAATAAATAATGCATCCAGTGACAGCATCAAAGTTGTCTGCTTCACAGAAACCTGTAGGCTATTGCTTTCTAACTTGATACTCTTTGTTCTGCTGCAAAATGCCTGAAAAGGTCCCAAAAGAAACTTACACCACAATCTCTACTGCAGCTCCTTAATCTTTGTCTCCTTGCAGCTTGAATGCAAGGGCCTCTGCAAGGATCTGATATCAAAAGAAGGGTAATGCCACTACGGGGGGGGGGGGGGGGGGGGGGGGGGGGGGGGAGGGGGAAATTACTGGATTTCCTGAATAGTAAATAGTTTGGGTTGGTCTTGGGGTTTTTTTAGGGAGCTGGTCCCTCTGCTCTTGGCTCTTGCACTGGCAGCAGGGTATCCCTAGGGTGCTGTTGCTGCAGGCCTCTCTCGCCGCTCCCCGCCTCGAAACTAGGGGCCAGTGGAGAAAATTGGTTTGGCGGGGAAGGTGTCGCAGGAGTTAAGCAGAGGTGGGGAGTGTTGCTCGGCCTCCGTGGGTGGGAAGGAGCTTCTCCTCCGCGGGGGAAGGCGCGTCCCGCGAGTGCTCCCGCGGGCGGGGGAGCGCAGTGCGCGGCGAAGGGCGCCAGGGGGCAGCCGCGGGCTCGGGGGTGCTGCGGGGGGCGCACACCCATCATTCCCCGCTCCCAGCCCAGGACCCTGGGTTTGCCTTAAGCAGCGTCCCATTGCTCTGACCGAGGCGAGGGAGCGGACTCCGAGCTCCAAGGGTGCAAGGAGGTGCAGCTCAGGCTTTCAAACTAGTCCCCCGCGGGAGGGAGCCCGGCTCAGCCCGTATGGCGGGGTGAGTGCGAGGGTCTCCCAACAGCCCGGTGCCGCGGTACTGTGCGGCTCCGCGCAGGGGCTGGTCTGTGTCCCCGAACTCCCCTGTAGCCTCTGGGCTCCCAGATGTTAAAAAGGAGGCGTCTCGACGCTCAAGTTGCGCGTCAAGGGCCTTTCCGAGCCCCTTATCCTCTCCCTGCCTCCCTCTGGGACGATGCTTGCTTACTGCACGGGACACAGCCCCAGCACTGAAGGCTATCCCGACATCTCCGCATCCGAAGGGCTCTTTCTTCTCCCTCAAGTAGATTTCAGAGCAGAAAAAGGGGCAGCCCTGCTCCTTCTTCGGGGTAGTGAAGCCCTGCAGGGGAAAGGAGGGTGACTCCAGTCCCTCTCGGTCCGTCCCTCTCCTGACGATTATTCCCCAGCGCTTTCTCTCAAGCGAGCCGGAAACTGGGGATGATTTCAGAGGCCGAGCGGTTTAAAAACTTATGTGAGGGGTTTGTGCAGCGGCGGTCAGATCTGCTCATTGAGAGTTATTTACTAAGTCCTCCCCGCTTCCCTGAACACGAAAAATACGAGACGAGACGAAGAGTGGCCCAAGCCGTCACCTCCGTAACGTGGGGAAAGAGGGAGAAGCGTGCAAACGCTGTCAGGGAAACCTTTCATTACTTTGTTTTCAAGAGTCCGCAATAGGAGCGACAGGGCAAAATACACCTGATCCTGCTAATTGCAGCGAGGGCAGAGTGAACGCGTCGGCAGATAAAGACGTCTGCCAGCCTTCTTTTGTTCAGTACGAGCTCCGATACACGACTTTTTCCTCTTTCTTAGCTTTATTCGTTCCCCACTGCCTCTGCTGGGGTTTGCTAAATATGTCTTCGGAATAAAAGCAGAGACGTGAGGTTTGGAAAGCCACGTCTGATCCTGCCTGTGTATCCCAACCTGGAGCCCCTCTCAGACTTGCAATGCGATGCTAAACCTCTTGTGGTCCCGCATCTCCTCACCTCCGCGGAGTCGGAGCATTGGCAGTCTCCAAGCCCCGGCGTGGCGGGAGAGGTGACGACCCCAGAGACCCAGGAGAGGGGCGACCCCAGAGCCCTTCACCTCTGCTGTCCTCCTGGGGACCCAAGCCCGTGGGTGGGCAGGACTACACGCCTCAGTGTCCCCATTCAGGGACTTTCTAGGGAGGCTTAATGCAAGGCAGTGACTGTCTTCATCCTGTTTGGCCAAAGTGAGTGTGTTTTGTTGACACAGGGAATACATCTGCGAGTTACCGAGCACCCCGTCATGTATCATTGCCCTTGATCATTTGAGCACTTTGGGATTAGCGAGAGGCAAAATTCCAGGCTCACGTGGAAATACCCCGGAGACAGCGTGCGTAGGGCAAGCGGGGGAGGCAACAGCGGCTGGCTGCAGTGCTCGCTCTTTTCAGGCATCTCCGCGGGGAAAATTGCAGAAACTTCCCTACAACGAAAAGCAATTCGGGAGGGGAAAGAAAATAAAAAACAATTAGTGAATTGGTACGTTTCGAGAAATGAAGACTTGAGCACCGTTCCGTGCAGGGTGCAACGTTAGTTGCCATAAATAAATCCCGCTGCTCATTTTCATTCTTCTCTCGGCAAAGCCTGGCGAGTCCTGCCGATCTCCCCACGCCTTCGGCGGAGGCTCCGGCTGCTGGAGCCCGCGGCGCTGCAGTGCCGAGGGCGGGTAGCGCGTCACTCCTGCGGCTCAGAGCAGCCGGTCTCTCTCCTGCCCCTCTGGTGCTCATCCCGAGCGGGGTGTCTCCGTACCCGTCTTCTCTCGAGGTC